ATTTGGCAAGCAAATGACAAGTCACCTCTTGAGCAACTTCTCTATCTAAGCACTGTGCTAAGCACAGAGAAAGCTATAACCAAGGAAAAGGTTTCCTCTCCTCAAGTTCTCACTTTAATATGGGAAATTCGGCAGATCTACTGGACTTAAATTATTTCCTTACTACATTGTGAAGTCATTGTAGAAATTAGTCCAGGGCAGAAATTCCAAGACCAACTAGAGAATCTAATATTATCTCCACCTGGGCTTGGGACCTCTGAGACATAGTACTGAAGGATTGTCTTTGAAGGTTTACTTAGGATCCTAATTAAAACATTTATAATGGAACAAGAATAAATTGTGGAGCCAAAAGAACCTGGGTCCTAATCTTAGCTTTATCACTTACTAGCTATGTGATTTTAGCTAAATCACATAATTTTTCTGAACCTTACCTACAAAGTAGGTAGTAAAATGAAACATGGTGGAGAATAAATTAGATGAGGAAAAAACAGCCGGGCGATTTATAATTTGGTAGATGATCAACAAGTGTTTTTTTTCTTTTTCACCATCAATCAGAAAGCTGATAATTTCCCAGACTTTAGAATCAGAGGAAAGCCAAAACAATTCCCAACTATACCATCAAGTCATAGAAAGTAATGTATCCCGCCCCCTTGAAGAAGCCTGGATTTATCTGCAGTCAGGATTCTCTCTCTACGTGCACCCACAAAGTCACAGCTTAGAGCCTTTTTTTCATGTATATTTGGAGTTTGAGTTAAATGCTCAATGAAATTTAGGGGCCTCTTAAATTATTTGGCCTGGAGAACTGATTGAATGAGTATATGAAGGAGTTTCACTAAAGAGAATGCCAGTGAGGCTGATAGAGAACAACTTGGAAAATCATAATCACGTATGGCATGTGGATTCATGTCTAGGAAGCATGAGTGTGGGGTACTATGTTTGCCACATTAATGGTGTGACTCTCCACTCCATATATTTTTCTTTAAGTGCTTATGCCCAAATAAATTTCTCCCTTTAACTTTTGCCATTTGAATGCCATTTATTAAAATATCCTTGCCCCTTTCCTTCGTTTAACCCACTGCCACCACAACAAGTTCTTTTGTACTTTTAATGAACAAACCATAAATTATGATTAAGTGTAATCAAAAAAAAAGGTGGAAGTGCCCAAAAAAAAAGTACTTACAATAACTCTCCACAAAAGCACAGCAGTAGTAGATATGGTTTCCTCTTTGCCCCCATGTAACAGCATAAACTACCTTACTGACATGGGGAAAATAGGTATATTTTCCTTCTTATTATTTATATTTAAGTATGGTCTGATCTCACATGACCTTTTGAATGGGAAGGTCTCTGAGTTGATGGGAATGGAGTCCCATAACATTCTAGAATACATTTCCAAAACTGTATTAAACAGTATTAAACAGACTGTACTTAACTGTATTTAACTATATTAAACAGACGCTACTTCCACTACCCAGCCGTCGCCACACTCCAGGACGCTTTCCGGACCCGTGCGGCCGCGCGACACATCATTAGACACTAAATACCCATCTTCCGGAATTGTCGTACCATATTTGATAGGGTTCAAATATGGTAACACCTACAAGGGCGATTAGAGGTCGCCCCAAAAGCCTCTATCCCTCTCGTAAAGACTGGCAAGCTACCGAGAGTATTCCGCCCGCACGGAAGAGTCTGGCAAGCTATCCGCTATGTATTCGATATGCCAAAACCAGTAACTACAACTGGTCTCATTCACCTGACCCTGAAGGCTTCACCGACATGGCAGCACTGAGAAGGATGAGAAAGGAGAGGCCGACAAAATCTCAAGGCCGACGTAGGCTGCCACAACGAAGGAAGACAAAAATGATCGTCTGTACTTTCAATGCATGTACGCTAGCATCAGATGCATCCATCGAGGACCTGATGGTACAAGCGCGAATGATCAAGACATCATTGGTCTGACCGAGACAAGAAGGCACGAATCTCACCATGCCGTTTTCGACACTGCAGAAGAATTGTTCCTCGGAACATGCGATAAAAGAGGTGTTGGAGGCGTCGGTGTCCTTGTCAACACAAACTTGGCCAAGAGCATTGATTCATTCGAATGCCTAACAACTCAAATCGGACGTTTACATTTGAATAGATGTGACTCACTGCCTGCAGTTTCTATCTTCGTTGTCTACGCACCAACATCTCATTATGATGAAAGAGAAATCGAGAAGTTCTACATGGAGCTAGAGAAGTTCTATAAAGAAGACCACACCTTCTACAAGATCATTGTGGGTGATTTTAATGCCAAGATAGGACCGAGAAGATCAGCTGAAGAACTTCACATCGGGACCCATGGCCTAGAATGGAACAAACAGGGTGAGAGACTGTCTGAGTTCATCATGTCGACCAAGACCATTCATGGTAACTCACAGTTCCAGAAGGCAGAATCTAAACGATGGACATGGGAGTCTCCTGGTGGACGATTCCACACGAAATAGACCACATCATATTCAATCGACGGTTTTGCCTGACTGATGTTGCTGTTGTCCCAAAATTTCGAACGGTATCGGACCACCATCTCCTTCGTGCAAAATTCTACTTCACAGAGCAGGGAGAAAGGGCTGCAAAGTTAAAAAAGAGAACTCCCAGAATGACCACCAACTGGGAACTCTTTGGTACTATTGCGGCAACATGGGAAGATGCCATTGTTGACAACATTGATGAGGAATACGATCGACTGGTTCAGCACCTCCATGAATGTGCGAGGAACGCCAAGAGAGAGATAGCCACAAAAAATCGCCTATCTTCGAAAACTCTTGAGCTAATTCGCCAGAGTGGTTTGGCGCATACCTCAGGCAACCGCAAGCTAACGTCCGAGCTCGCAAAGCAGGGCAGAGATGCGATCAAGGAAGACCTCAAAGAGAGAAGAGCAGAAGTACTGGTAGATGCGGCAGAAGCCGGGCAAAATATTCGTTACGCCCGCCTGTCCTTCGCCAACTACAAGACCAAGATGACTGCCCTCCGACGTCCTGATGGATCCATCACATCCTCCAGAACGGCAATGGAGAAGATTATCCATGACTTCTACTCAAATCTCTTCGATAGCCATGTCCACTTGCCGACATACCAAATTCCACAGGATGGATATGTCGTTCCCAATGTTCTCCTTTCCAAAATCCGACACGCCATTTTGTCGGTAAAGAAACAAACAGCACCCGGCCCAGACAAGGTCAGACCTATACACCTGAAGAACCTGCGTCAGTACTCATCAATACACTGGCTCGGCTCTTCACTCGTTACCTGTCTGAATGCAAGGTTCCGTCCCAATGGAAAACCAGCAGGACCGTACTACTGTTCAAGAAGGGAGACATCCATGACATTGGCAACTATCGCCCGATCTGCCTATTCTCTGTCATCTACAAGTTGTCCACTCGAGTCATCCTAAATAGGATTGGCAGAACACTAGATGAAGGACAACCATGCGAGCAAGCAGGGTTCCGCAAAGGATTCAGCACCATCGACCATATCCACACAATAACCAAGCTCATTGAGGTTTCTCGGGAGTTCAAGATGCCGCTCTGTTTAACGTTCATTGATTTAAAGAAGGCCTTTGATTCTGTTGAGACGGAAGCAGTCATTGAAGCCCTAGCCAATCAGGGCATTCAAGCCCAATACATCAGGATCCTCCGTGAGCTGTATTGCGGATTCACTACCAGGATCTCACCATTCTACAAAGAAGTGATCGTTGATGTCAAGAGAGGGGTGCAGAAGGGTGATACCATTTCACTGAAACTCTTCAGTGCCACCTTCGAGAATATCATGGGACGACTGGAATGGGAAGGAATGGGAGTGAAGATAGATGGTCGGCAACTACACCACCTCCGCTTTGCTGATGACATTGTTTGAATAACACCAAACATCAGTCAAGTGGCACAAATGCTGGCCGACTTTGACCGTGAGTGTGGAAAGGTAGGACTACAGCTGAATCTTACGAAGACAATGTTTATGAGAAACAGCCTTATTCCTGACGCCCCATTCGCTCTCAATGGAACGACCATCTCTGAATGCAACAGCTATGTGTACCTAGGTCGAGAGGTCAACATGACAAATGACCTGGCACCCGAGCTGCGCAGGAGGAAGAGAGCAGCTTGAACGCCTTCAAGAACATTGAAGAAATAGCTAAGAGGACGAAGAACCTCCGGCTCCGGGCACATCTCTTTGATTCCACTGTTCTTCCTGCATTAACATATGCCTCAGAAACCTGGGCCCTACGCAAACAAGGTGAGAACGCTATTCAGGTGTCCCAAAGAAGAATAGAAAGAGCTATGCTTGGAATATCACGTTTCACTCAAATGAGAGAAAGAATCTGGAGTTCTAACATCCAGCGACGATCAAGAATCAGGGACGCTGTCTCATTTGCCAAGGTGTCAAAAATCAGATGGGCTGGTCACGTAATGAGATTTAAAGACGACCGCTGGACTAGAGCTGTTACCGACTGGATTCCACGGGATGTCAAAAGACCGCGTGGCCGCCCACCTTCCAGATGGTCAGACATCTTCGTCAAGATCATCAATGATCGTTTTGAGGCCCTTCATGTTCCTGGAGCGAACAGATGCCATTGGGCTACACTAGCACGCGACAGGGACAAATGGAGACGTTACTGGCGCTCGCTCGAGCAAATTGACGACTAACGGGAAGTTAAGTGATTAAGTCATGGTCTGATCTCACATGACCTTTTGAATGGGAAGGTCTCTGAGTTGATGGGAATGGAGTCCCATAACATTCCTAGAATACATTTCCAAAACTGTATTAAAACTAATAATACAGTTAGTTTAGTCTGTATAGCCCAGCTGCTGGCGAAAGCAGGGAGGATTAAATCTATGCCATCAAGCCTTTGATAAGGATACCAGAATTGTTTCCTCAAAGGAAACTGAGCAAAATGAAGATATCACCAGTTTCTAGAGAAGTCTCAGCAGCGCCAACACATCCTAGCTCTCCAAGCTGTCACTTACCTCCCTGACTGGCTGGTCTTCCTGTTTCCTGTTATTGGTTTCCATTTGTCCCCAGGAAATTCCTGCGAAGAAAAAGTCTGATAAGTTAGAGAGCTCTGAGCAGGCAGGTATCCATATGGCTTCATAAATGTGAAGAGGTCAGAAATCTGTCCCTTTTCAGGCCACACAGCTGGATGCTACAGGTTACAGAAATATGAACCTGGACGTCTTCTTTCTGCTGGAACCCAGGGACATGGGCAGTGTGGTCTAAAGGCTCTGTGCTTTCCTTTACTTCTCCACTTCTTTGCCAAACAACATTAATAAAACATTTTAACATGTTTGTTTCTTGTTCTGGCTTTTTCAAAAGGGGGTTGTTTTGTTTGTTCTCAACCAGGTTTACCTTCTCATTATTGCCTATTCAAAGAGACAAAAGCCTCTTCTTGGAAGCCCTGCCCTTCATCAGGATTTGAGACTAAATTCTCCAGCTTCTACTACCCTCTGATATGGTAAGGCAGATAGAGAGTATGAATACTAATACAGTCCTTCCCCCAGAACCACTGCTGAGCTGAGGTTCATCTCTGGGGAGCACGAGTAGTAAGTGCCATATTCACAACACTCGAATAGACCATTCTGGGCATTATTTTGTTCAAGAGCTTACCTAAGCATTCCCCTAATTTTCTTATCTAGCACCATCTTCTACCTAGCAACTCAGAGCTTAACACAAAGGTAATACCTAAATCTCACTGGTTATTCGAATCGGGACTTGGCATTCTCTGTGCAAGTGCCCCAGATGTCCTCTAGGGCCCTGGGACAAAAGCAGCCCTGAGCTTCTCCCTCTTCGCCCCCAACACTGTGCCGGTCTTCTTCCCCACCATGGTCAGTTTACCCGCCAGTATTTGAACCCGGGACTTGGCTTTCTCCGCGAAAGCGCCCCAGGCGTCCTTAGGACTCTGGAACAACAGCAGCCCTGAGCCTCTTCCTCTTTGTTCCCAACGCAATGCAGGTGCAGATATTCAACCCCTCCCAGCTAGCACCACCCCTGACACACCAGGTTCCGGTGAGGGCGTGGCATCTTCAGAAGTGGGCGTGGATTCTGCAGAATTGGGTGTGGCCTAATTTCAGGCAGCCGCTCACCCGAGAGCAGGTAGTTTAGTCATACCAAAAATCTAGTGTAACTTCTCAATTCCCATATCTACACAGCAACATGAAGAAACAACGCAAATCCTCACCACGTGGGGAGGATGATGGAAAGAGTCCAGAAGCCTCAGTAGGTGTTACACAACTAAAGGACGTTTCTGAGAAAAAAATTCAGATATGAAGTAGTGAAGATGTTCCGTGAACTCAATGAAACAGTAAGACAGAATCCAGTAACATGACAGGAAAAATCAACAAATTACGGGAAGAAATGAGAGCAGAAATGTCACGAATAAAAAATTCCCTAGATGAAATAAAAAAAAAAAACTCAGTCTGAGCCCTCATTAGTAGAATGACTACAGCTGAAGACAGAATCAATGAGCTGGAAGATCAGCTGTACCAAGCCAACAGACAACAACAAAAAATGGCAAGATACCTCAAAATAGCTCGAGAGAAAATCAGAGTCCTAGGAGATGATTCCAAAAGTAACAACATTAGAATCATTAGAGTACCAGAAGCTCAGGGAGACAATCCCAATGAAAAAGCCAAAGTTAAATCATTGATGAAAAATTCACAGAGCTGGACAATGCAGAAATTCATATTCAAGGAGACCGAAGGGTGCCAGCTAAAAGAGACCCTAACAAAAACACTTCAAGACATATCACAGTTAGAATGATCAATGCCGCCAATAGAGACACAATACTGTAAGTGGCAAGGTCAAATAAGGAAATCACATTCAAAGAAACACCTCTTAGGTTCACAGCAGACCTATCAGAGGAAACTCTCCAAGCCCAAAGGCAATGGTGGGATATAATGAAAAAACTCACGGAAATGAACACTTCACCAAGAATACTCTCTCCAGCTAAACTTTCACTCAAACTCGAAGGAACAGTACACTATTTTCTAGATAAATAGCATCTCAGGAACTTCATAGACTCAAAACCAAACCTAAAACAAGGGATAAAAGGGGCTACTCTAAGACAAGGCAAACCCTACAAGCATAAAGAACGCTTACAGAAAGATGAACAAAACCCCATAACAATAATCTCGCTCAAAGTCAACGGTCTAAATTCACTGATTAAGAGACACAGAGATACAAGTGGATACAGAGACAGAACCCAACATTCTGCTGCCTACAAGAAACTCATCTCAACAGTCAGAGAAAACACAGACTCAAGGATAAAGGATGGAAAACAATCCTACAAGCAAACAGCACCCTCACAAAATCTGGGGTGGTCATACTAGTATCTGACAAAATAAATTTCAGGTTGAAAAAGATAAGAAGGGACAGCGAAGTCTATTTTCTATTCATCAAGGGCTAGGTACAACAGGAAGAAATCACACTCTTAAATGTAGATGCACCTCATGAGGGAACAGCTAAATATTTAAAAACAACTGCTAACAGATTTTAAGGAGGACATTGTTAGCAACACAATAGTAGCTGGAGACTTCAACATTGCCTTATAACCTGTGGATAGATCAACAAGAACAAAACTCAGCAAGGAAATTTTGGTTTTGAAAGAATAGAAGAGAAAGGGCTTATAGAACCTATATAGGGATTTACACCCCAAAAAGAAAGAGTACACATTCTTCTCCAGTGCACAGAGAACATTTTTCAAAATAGACCATGTGCTAGGACAGAAAACATACCTCAATAGAATCAGGAAGATAGAAATAGTATCAACCATTGTTTCAGACCACGATGCACTGTGAATAGAAGTGAATCACAGACAGACACGGAGAACCGAATCAAACACCTGGAAATTAAATAACTCAATGCTGAACAACGAGTGGATCAGGAAGGAAGTCAAGGACGAAATCAAAAGATACCTGGAAACAAATGAGAATGAACACATGAGCTACGAAAATCTATGGAATGCAGCTAAAGCCTGGTTAAGGAGAAAATTTATAGCACTGCAAGGATTACTCAGGAAAGACGGGCTCACATAAAGAACTTGCCTTCACAGCCCAAGATCTTAGAGAAAGATTAACAAAAGGGGCCCAAATCAGGCAGAAGGAAAGAGATCCTAAAACTTAGAGCAGAAATCAATGACATGGAAACCAAAGAAACAATCCGAAAGATCAATGAAACCAAGTGCCGGTTCTTCGAGAAAATAAACAAGAGAGATAAACCACTAGAAACACTCACAAATACAGAGAGAGAGAACCCTAGTAACCCGAATGAGAAATGGAAGGGGGGGGTATCAGACCAGAAACCAAAGAAATTCAAAAGATCATCAGAGACTACTTTGAAAGTTGTTATGCCACAAAACAAGAGAACCTAAAAGAAATAATTCCAGGATTCCTATAATCTCCCAAAGCTGAATCAAGAAGATATAGCGTACCTTAAGAGAGCTAATAACATCAAGGAAATTGAAACTTGTAATCAAAAGTCTTCCCAACACCAAACGTCCAGGTCCAGATGTATTCACTAGCGAATTTTTCCAAACATTTAAAGAGGACCTTTTGCCAGTTCTTCTGAAGCCTTTCCAGGAAACTGAAGAAACAGAAACAGTTACAGTTTCTATGAAGATCTTATCTCTCTAATACCAAAAGGCAACAAATATACCACAAGAAAAGAAAACTACAGGCATATATCCCTGATGAACACAGATGCAAATATTCTCAACAAAATACTTGCAAATAGAATGCAACAAATCATTAAAATGATCATACACAATGACCAAGTAGGATTCATCCTGGGGATGCAAGGCTAGCTTAACATTCGGAAATCAATCAAGATTAACCATCATATCAACAAAAAAAAAAGATAAAATCCATATGATCATATCAATAAATGCAGAGAAAGCATTTGAGAAGATCCCACACTCGTTTATGATGAAAAGCCTCGCCAGAATGAGGACAGAGGGGACTTTTCTAAATATAGTTAAAGCCATCTACCACAAGTTTACAGCAAGCATCATCTTCAATGGGGAAAAACTGAGAGATTTCCCCTATGATCAGGGACGAGACAAGGATGCCCACTCTTTGCACTGCTGTTCAATATAATACTGGAAGTACTTGCAATAGCAATTAGGCAAAAAAAAAGATATTAAAGGCATGCAGGTAGAAAAGGAAGAAATCAAGCTCTCACTATTTGCAGATGATATGATACTAAGAGAACCCTATAACCTCCACCAAGAAACTCCTAGAAACAATAGACTTGTATAGTAAAGTTGCAGGCTATAAAAATCAATACACAAAAGTCCATGGTTTTCCTATAAGAAATAGTGAGGGGGAAGAAAGTGACATGAAAAAAAAAACATTCCCGTTCACAACTGTGCCCTAGAAAATCAACCACCTAGGAATTAGCTTTACTAAGTAGGTAAAGGACCTAAAAAACCCTACAAAACACTACTTCAGGAAATAAAAGAGAACACGAGAAAATGGAAAGATATCCCCTGCTCATGGATCGGGAGAATCAACACTGTCAAAAATGGCAATACTTCCTAAAACATTATACAAATTCAGTGTGATCCCTTAACGATACCCATGACATTCTTCAAAGAAATGGAGCAAACACTCCTGAAATTCATATAGAAAAATAAGCCCCCATGAATAGTTAAAGCAATTCTTGGGAAAAAGAAAATCCGAGAAATCAACCTCCCAAACTTTAAACTCTACTACAAAGCAGTAATAATTAAAACAGTCTGGTACTGGAACAAAGGCAGAGCTGCAGAACAATGAAATAGGGTTGAATATACTGACATCACTCCCGAAGCATATGATCATCTAATCTTTGATAAGGGAGCAAGAAATGTAAATTGGAGCAAGGAAAGCCTCTTTAACAAATTTTGCTTGCAAAACTGGACAGCTACATGCAAAAAATGGGCTCAGATCTCTGCCTAACACAATGTACAAAAGTAAGATCAAAATGGAATAAAGACCTCTACTTTAGAGCAGAATCCATGAGGAACATCGAAGACAAGGTTGGTAAAAATCTCCCCAA